TAAAAAATACTAACTAGTTAATATTTAATTACTTGAAAAATATTTTATGTTTTATATTATAAAGTAATTAATTTATTCTTTTGTTTTTATATTTTGTTAATTATTTTTTATAAATATTTTATTTGAAATATTAAATAGAAATTATTAATGGAATAATTTATACTAATATACTTATTATAATAATATAATATATTAATGTACATTAGTTGACATCCTGTCGACATTATCGACATCTTGTCGACATAATAGAAAAAACTGCCTTATTTTTGTTATTTGGACCGATTTAGTCAACATTTCCGAAATATAGGAAATGTTAACCGAAATAATGTAATTTTTATATTACCATCCATTTTCATGTCGGTGAGCCTCGACATCGACATATGTCGGGCGACATTAGCAACATTTCGCGACATTTGAAACCATGCTTATGACCCCTCCAATACTAAGGGGTCCGGGTTGCCCATACTACTACCATCAAATTTTCCTCCATTCTTTTTTTCCTTTGGCCTTTGAGAAACTTCTTATTTGACCCTTGGGGTGTCTACAAAGAAAGGTTTGTACTATCCACTTTGCTTTTCTTGAGCCTCTCCTCCTCTTGGACACACATGGAGATCAACTCACTAGGGCTCCACTTTTCCTTCTAGGTATTGTACATGACTTTCAGTTCATCAAACTGAGAGAGAAGAGAATTTGGGATAAATTGGACAAGGAATCTATCATCTACATTCATCTTTATGTGTTTAGTTAGCATGATCAATCATGTGGAGTACATGTTCTCTTACACCATCTAGACCATCATATTTCAAATTTACTAGTTGCGTCATCAAAGCGCTACCAATTGCTTTAGTGGAGCTAGTAAACTGCTCCTTAATCCTAGCCATATATTTGTTCACAATTCTCTCATCTAGGATATTGCCTCTAATATTGTTTGAAATCGTTCAAAATCATCCATTTTATTATCATTAAACGAATATGATTAGCTTTCACCCAGCCTTCATATTTCTCTTTTTCCTCTTTCATGCTTTGATCAGTGGGTTTTGGATGTTAATCCTCTAATAGGACAAAATCAATCATCATAATGTTCAAGACTATCTCTATTAGTTCATTCCAGTTAGATAAGTTTGATCCATTCAAAGTCTCAATGCTGGACAAACAACTATGAATTGTGGCAGTATTCAAAGATGAAAAAAAAAAACAAAGGAAAACATGCTCACTACATTGCATCTTAGTTCCTTATGCATGTTAAATCAAAATAATGCCATTAAGACGCACAACATCTAATTGATTAAGACTTAGCTGGCATTTGATAAATCTAAAGTCAGATGTTTGAAAAGTCAAAAAGCTATTGATTAAGACT